GGGATCATGACCTGAGCCGAAGGCAGACGTTTAACAACTGAGCCACACAGGCGCCCCTGAAAATAGACTTTAGAGCAGAGAAAATTACGAGATAAGGAGGGACATTACATGATGGTCAATTCCCCAATTAGACATAAAAATACTGTGAATGCACCAAATAACAGAGTTTCAGAATACATGAAAGAAAACTGATAGCCCTGAAAAGAGAAATAGAAAAGTCTACAATATTTGGAGACTTAAATATTAATCTCAAAGTGATCAATAGATGCAGCACACAGATAATGGGCAAGAATATAAAAGTACTAAACAACAGTATTAACTAATCTAATTGACATTTAAAGAACATTCCACCCGGGACGCCTGGGTGGCTCAGTCATTTAAGTGTCTGCCTTTGGCTGAGGTCATGATCCCAGGGTTCTGGGATCAAGCCCCGCATTGGGCTCCTTGCCTAGCGGGGAGCCTGCTTCTCCCTCTCCTCCCTGCCTGTGCTCTCTCTATCTCCGTCTCTCTCTCTCTCAAGTAAATAAATAAAGAACATTCTACCCAACAACTGCAGAATATACATATTTTTCCCCAAGTTCAAATAAAACTTTCACCAAGATAAATCATATCCTGGGTCACAGAATAAACCTTAACAAATTTAAAAGAATCAAGATTATACAAAGTATGTTCTCTAATCATAAGGGAATTAGAATGAAATATAACAACATAAAGCAAGAGAAAAATCTCCAAATAGCAGCAAATATAACAGCACAAGTAATTCATGAGTCAAAGAGGTAGTCTCAAGGGAAATTATAAAATATTTTAAACAGAAGAAAAATTAAAATAAAACCTATCAAACTCTGTGAGAAGCAAACAAAGCCATCCTTAGATGGATACTTATAGCATTAAATTACTATACTAGAAAAGAAGAAAAGTCTCAAATCATAATCTAAGCTTCTAGCTTAAGGGGGGAAAAAAAGACAGCAAAATAAATCCTACGCAAGCAGAGGAAAGCAATACTGAGCAGAAATCAATAAAATTAAAAACAGAGAAACGATAGAGAAAAATCAATGGAACCAAAACATGGTTCTTTATATCCAGAATACAGCACTACTTTCATAGATGTAAGCTATCACTCCAAACCTATTAAAATAGCTAGGATTAAAAAAATAAAAACCTGAAAATACCACATGCCAGAAAGGATGCACAACAACTGGAACTCTAACACATTGCTAGTGTAAAACTGAACAGCCATTTTGGAAACAGTTTGGCAGCTTTTTACAAAGTTAAACATACCCTTACCATATAACCCCAGTAACTCTATTCCTAGATATCTACCCTAGAGAAATGAAGAATTATGTTTATACAAAAACCTTTACACAAATATTTATAGTAGATCTACCCATGACTGACAAAAACTAGAAACAGCCCAATAATCCTTCAAGACATGAATGGCTAAACAAATGGAATAGACTCAAGTCATAAAATATTTGGCAATTAAAACGAATCGATACTGCTACATGCAGCAACAACTTGGACGAAGCTCAAAGACATTATGGTAAGTGAAACAAGCCAATCTCCAAAGGTTACATACTCTACCATTCCATTTATAAGATCATCTCAAAAAGACAAAGCTGGAGTGGGGAATACATCAGTGATGACCAGTGGTTAAGGGTGAGAGAAGCTTGTAATTATGGAGAGATAGCATGAGGAAGTTTCTTCTGAGGTGTTAACAACTATTCTGTATCTTTATCGTGGTAGGGGTTACACAAGTCTACCCATGCATTACAATCCACAGAACTCATGAAATCCACACAATTTTTAAAGACCAAGAGAAAAAGGTCAATTTTATTATATGCTAATTTTTAAAATGAAATATAATTTTTAAAGTTTACTTTTAAAACATAGGGCACAAATGTAACCTAGAGTTGAGTATCTAGGTTACAAAGACTAATCTGAAAACAAACGAAAATTAGGAAGATAGTGATCTACTCACCACTGCTGGCCCCTCTACAGTTTCCATTACTAGAATCCATAGGAAAATCTGAAAGGTGATAGAATAAAGAAAGAATTATACTTTATTCATTATTATTTCAAAAGTTCCCATATAAAAGTCCAATTCAGTTGTGAATTTAATTTGGGCAAGAACCCAGAAGTCTCAAGGAAGTGGATTCTTATTAGTGCCATGAGCTTGGCACTCTATTACTTTTAAGTCAAATAAGAACAAGATCTTTTCTTTTGTGTGATTGAGAGATGATACACTTTCTTGAATCCTCATCAACTGCACATAAAATTTCAGGATTTAGTAAGTTTTTGAGTCTCATGAAATTTCTGACACAATAAAGTCCACGTACATATTAAGGGTTCACCTAACACTTGTGTCTTAACTAAAAGAAGCAAACACATCTCTTCAATAAATAGATTATCACACGTGACTAGCATATATTTAAATTCTTAGTGCATCAAGAAAGCATTCAGAACACATTCTCATGCCCTTTGTTACCTGTAAACTAGACAGTTCTTCAGCAGAAAGCAAGCATACCATGCAAGGGCCACTCAAGCCAGTGCGATAAATAGACATGGTAATAACTGGAAATTGCCAATGACTCTACCATAATCCCAGAAAATGGTAGTGATACACAGTAAATAGTACTTATATAAAGTTCTTCTGTGTTCTATTTAAGAACACAGCCTCTAGTGAATAAGAGTGCCTCAGCAAAACAGCATGCTGAGACTTGCTACACCTCGCTATCTATTCTTATTGATACTTCACCTCCAAACTTTTATATAAGTTTTAATTTTGTATTAACACTTTATGTTAAATGAGTTTAATATCTGTTTATCCTAACAGAAAATAACATTCTTCCCCTGTCCTTTTTCCTTATAGGATGTATCATGAATAAATTAAAAAGGAGTGGCTAAATACCATTTTAGGACAATAGCACTCAAAATTACAATTAATGAATTACTTTCACAGGCTTAGTAATGATCATCTGGGATTTTTTTTTTTATCTTTTTTTCATTTTTATTCATCTGGTATTTAAAAAGCTATATACAAGGAAAGATAGTAACCACCGAATAAACAAATAGGCAACAAATACTTAATTCTAAAACATTAATTCAACTCAGTCATATACTATTAATTTAATGACTTTTACCCTATTCAAAGACTTTATTCATGATAAATGTATCCAAGTGTTAAAGTAACATGCCAATGGTTTTATTCCTGAACAAGTCCAATAATCATAACACACAAATGATCTATACAAAAATTCTCTCTCTGGGGGTGCCTGGGTGGCTCAGTCTGTTAAGCATCCAACTCTTGATTTGGGCTCAGGTCATGATCTCAGGTCCTGGGATTTGAGCTGCGTGTTGGGCTCCCTGCTCAGCAGGGAGTCTGCTTCTCCTTCTCCCTCCGCCCCTCCCCCCTGCTCATGTTCTCTCTCTCTCTCTCAAATAAATAAATAAAATCTTTAAAAAAAAAAATAAGGTAAAAATCAAAGCTGACTCCCAGGCCTGGAGCATGGGTATGCTGGGGCCTCATAACCATATAAAAGATACTAGAAAAGTATAGGCAGATGAGGATAAGGAAATGAGGAGTTCACTTTGTGGCATGATGAGACTGAGGGGCTCTGGGTTAGATGTGAGAGTCTGGAATGCACTCTTATCTCAAAAGGGCAGTGAGGTAGTTATCTCTAATCTCTTGGAATCCCTGTCCAGGGCTGTCTTCTATTCTCTTAAGCTACATATAAGTGGGCTTTCAAAATACAATGGACAAAATTTGATCCTTTAACTGCAATCTGATAGTCAAAAGACGCCGATTCTTTCTAAAGTTATGAATCACCTCTTTCTTCATGAGACAGGAAGTGTAGTGGAGAATGGCTTCTGGCTTGAATCTTTTCTCTGAATAGCTTTATGAACTTGCACAAATCACTTGTATGCCTCCGCTTCCTTTTCTTCAAAATACCTACCACGGAGTTATTATAATAAGTCGATATGCATAACACACTTAAAACAGCAGACAGAATATGTTGGTACATTCTGTTGCCGCCCAAGATCCCTCTCCTGAGAGGACATATTGTTGTTTAGCTGTTGTTGCTAAACACTCACACTCTGCTTGGCCATTTGTCAGTCACTTCATATGAAGAGTTCTTTTGTTCTTCTCTATTCCCAATGTCAATCTCAAATGACTTGCTCAAGGTCTAACATTAATGGCAAAACTGGAATTCCAACTTAGGGCATCTACCTCTAAAACTGTGAAACTGCAGAAACAGAACCAATTCTTAATTATTCAAAACTGTAGCTCTTCTTTCTATACACCTCGTGGAAAGACAAAGGCCAAACAGAACGGAGTCGATTTTGCTATTTATAGCAACAATGATTTGGAAGTTTGGTAGTAGGAATGAAATAGAAAAGGAGTTATTAAAATAAGATTTGGGGACTACGCAAGATTCTATTACCACTAATTAGGTTAGCTATAATGAAATACCAGAACTCGCGGAGATACCCTCTTCCCTACCCCGTCCAGAGTGCCTTTCAATATTTTATGGAATGAGGGATCCTTAGACCTGGGTTCTCTCCGGCCTTAATCTAAAATTTCCATTTCTCCTTTCCACTCCATTTGCCTTCCTATCACACTTAATAATTCTTCCTTCTTGGTATTCGGCCCCTCAAATATTTGCAGACCAGAGCTAAAGAAAAGGCTGCCTGTTCCTCAGAGCACGGAGAAATGAGTGCACAGCGGTGCCTGCACCTGAAAGCTGGTGCAGCACAGGCAGGCGAGAGAGATGTGGAGACGTGTGTTCGCTGGGCTGAGGAGCTAACACCGCCATGGAAAGCAGCAGTGACTGACGACTGATTATAAAGCCCTTGGCATGGCGAACCATGGGTGTTGAATAAATAGCTGGTAAATATCATACCACAAGTTTTCTTAAATTCTTGATCGCTACATTTCCAAGATAAATCACTTGTAATTGACCGACATCCCTCAGACTCATTCCTTCTTCCTGGTGCTCCCAAAAGGGATTTATTCTTGAGCCTGAGGCCCAGGTCCATTTGTGGAAAATGCAATATTAAGCTTATGTGTTCAGAAGGAAGATCTGCTTTTCCAGTTGGGTCCCGGCGTAGAGCTTGGTTTCCAGAGCTGAAGTGATCAAACTTCTAAGCTGTATCTGCGTTGACCAGCATACCACTTCAAAAAAGAACACCTCACTTTGCTAGAACGACGATCATCGTGGCGAAAGAGCAAAGCAGCCGCACAACCTGCCAGGGACTACGTCCCAGGTACGATGCTGCTTCATTTCATCTTCACCAGGCCCCAGGGGGATGTAGAGGCGGGCTGTCTCCATGGTACAGATCAGAAACTTTCAATCAGAGAGTTTACAGAATTTTCCCATAATAACACTCGAGAGGAGGCAGAGTCCAGATTCAGCGCCTGGTCTGCCGGGCTCCCGGCCCGCACTCCTGACTTGCCACACACGATCCTGAAGCCTGGACTCGAGGTCTGAACTGGCCAAAATGAATTCTCAGATGAAGCAGTTGTGCATGAAGCCACAGCTCCATAGTAAACAGACAATGTGGAAAAAGAACAAATTCATAGGAATTTGTTGGTAATGGTCAAGATAGGAGTTTTTTTTTTTTTAAATGTATGCTGGCCCTTAGTATTTTGAAAGCAAAACATAGTTTGAAGCACTACTCCATTTCAATAAGACTTTGCTTTGTAAATGGGCCTAAACTTGTTTGTGGAGGGAACAGACCCCTGTGAATGGTAGGATTTAAAAATCCTCTTGGCATTGAAGGAATGTGAAGGTGGCCCCTTTTATTCAGGGAGACCTCATTTTTGTATTCGACTGGTTTCTAATCATAAAACATAAGCAATTCTGTTTATACCTAAAGGAAGGGAAAAAAAGGGCTTCGTGAACTATCATATCCCACTGAACCAAAGAGTATATTGCATCGTAAATTAAACTGGCCACATATGGTAGTTACTAAGTAATTCCAGGTGCCTGACAGTTTGACCCAGGATAGGGAATGCAATTTTCAGCAAGCTGGCCTGGGAAGCCAGGAGACCCTTGGGGGTAGACTCCACCTCTCCGTTCCCCATCCCCACCTCCCCGGCAGCTGCCTCCTGCCGCTGGTGTCTTGGACTTACACTGAAGGTTGTGGTAAAGGGAGACTGTCACAAAAATACGGTTCCCACTGCCACCTAACCCTCCCTATTTTTCTAGCAAGGATGCTGTCAACAAAGCAGATATTATGGCATTTTAAAGCAGCTCAGAAACCAGGTCCCACGTACTGACAAATTGTTTCCATGCATGGCCTATTTGAGTGCTTCAATGAGGCAATTGTTCTGCATTTGGTCCCCAATGATAGGTAATTCAGGGACACTTAAGGAAACTGCTTCCCATCCATATTGACCATGGTTTTTGAAAGCTGTTACCCTTGCCAAACCTCTCTCATTTGAGGTCCATGTCTAAGAGAGGTTTCAGAGCAAGTCTTTTCCTTTAAGGGGAGGAAAGCATTTCAGAGTGAACCACAGCCACCTCATTCCTAGTCCTTGGCCTGAGTGAAGCGCCAGCATTTAACTGATTCTAAGTGCCTGGCAAACCAGGGCAGCAACTGACCAAGCTCTTCCAGATTCTGCGCAGCCTGTGACGTTAGTGAGTACAAAGGCTCAAGAGTGCTCTTTTAGCCCAAAGATTAATAAGAAATACATTCCTTTCTGCTTATAGCATACAACCAGTTCTTAGCTCTTGATTAAAATCAAGAGGACAATAGGTCTATATAAGACCGATTGGCTAAGTGAGAGGACGATGGAAAAGCTTCTGGAATCTTTCTGTTCAGTGTTGGTTTTGCAGCTATTTGTACTTTTTGCCTCTTCACTCACTTTCCGTTAAGCAGGTCAATGTGCACAGAAAGCAATTTTCCCACGTCATTTTTCTGACAACCAAGAACTATTACCTAGAAATGGACTAAGGGCATGAGCATAGGCTGAGCAAGTTGAGAGGCAGAAGAAGGAAAAAACTGATGCCCAGGAAATGAACAGAAGAGGCAATCAAGTCATCACATCTAATAACAGAGTTCCTTGGTGGGAGGGGGTATGAAAAAGGACCAACCATAAAATATGAAATTCTATGAGGGTGAAATTTGAGTTCAGGGGTAACTGGTAAGAGTGACATTGAGTGAGAATTAAATGAACCATAATGAACTAGGTCTAGCTGAGGTCTTCAGAGTTATGAGTGTCAAAATTAGACCAAACACTAGTGAGAAAACAACTTGTGATTGATTCCATTAAATGTAGAACTGCAATCCAGCTTTCCGGTAAGGAAAAATTAAGATGAATGTGTGGTTGATGCACACACAGAACAAAGGGCATGAAATAAGGTATTAAAGACATACTTGCAGAGCCTAACAATGGGATAAGGGCTGAGATTAAAAATAACATTACATGAGTGAATGATGATAGCACGCCTTAAATATAACTCCTTTTATCCATATGTCACTTACAAAAGGACTTGAAGGCATGTGGGAATGTGAAAAGAGCCCGGCAATTTCACTTCGCCAGTTCTGTGGCTGGGAACAAGTCACAGAAGCCAATTAGCAGTGCATAGCAATGTTTCACAGCTGTTTCAGTCCGGAATGGAAGAACAATTTATCTCATTGAAAGGAGGAGGAAATGTAAGGTGAAGGTAATTGCTCAAATTGGACTTTCAGCAAACACATACCACTAACATCTGTGGGTTGGAGTAAGGTTACTGAAATTATCTAGGCATTTCCAATGATTCGAAGAAAAGGGTGCTTCGGTTTTGTTTTCACCACACAATCTTGACAAGCGGCTAAAACAGCAAAGCTATGGAAAATGGATGCTTGAGAATGCAAGAGAATCCGGGAAGAAAGTGCAGTGACTGTAAACAAATTAAGACAGTAAGAAGGGAGCATCACTCATACAAGATGAGGCTACGTGGACATGTAAAGTTTGGAAAGTGCAGGGTCAGTGTTGACAAGTGTAACCGGAGTGGAATGAAGTGTGTGTTGTAGAAAGACAGATTACCTACTGGCACGGAGTACATCAGTCTGGAAGACAGAAGAAAGAAGTGGTGCCCGACAGAGGGGTGATTAAGAGAAGCGATCCCAAGAAAAAAAAGGCAGAATTAGAAAGTAAAAGGCGAGTAGCAAAAACTCCCAGAAGCGAGAAGCGGGGTGGCTGGAGGTCAGCAGAGAGGCTGGGCCAGGTCAGGACTCACCGGCTCCGTCCGCGGTGACGATAGCCTCGGGAGAGATGCACACGCCACGGTCATAAACAGGCAGCTCCTCGCAGGCCAGACTCTCGGGCCACGAGTGGCGGTACTTGATGAGGATGGGCTCGCAGCCCTGCCGGGCCCGCTCGCACACAGACTTGCAGGGCTTGATGGGCTCGTGCTGGAAGTCAATGGTGCAGATGGGCGCGTACATGGCACAGAGGAAGAAGAGCAGATCGGGACTGCAGTGGGTGCCCAGCAGACCTTCGAACTGCTCGATGGCCAGGATGGCGTTGGCCTGGGTGCTGTGGTGCAGGTGGTTGGGCATCTTGGTCATGTTCCAGGGCAGGGACTTGCACAGGGGGATGCGGACGGGCTCACAGGCTGCAGCCCGAGCTCCGGGCACCGAGGGCAGGCAAAGCGCAGCCAGGGCGAGCAGCCCAGCCCACAGCAGCAGCATCCCTCCTGGACTGCCGCAGACCATGATCCCGGTAGGACGGGGCAGGGTGGAGCAGTGCCGAGCACGCCGAGAGGCCCGCTCCGCGGTCCCCTCTTCCCCTCCTGCAAGTGGACACAATGATCTGGGAGCTTCTCCTCCCCCGACGATCTGTTTCCTTGGATCAAATTCCCCCAATGGGGTCCCACGAGCTCCACCGACCTCCTGCCGCCGCCGCCCCTGCCGCTCTGGCTCTTCTTTCCCGACGTCTAAGCCTTCTGGGGCAGCAGCATCTCTTTATTCCTTGCTCCCTCTGGCAGAAGCGTCAGACCTCGCAGATGAATCAGATTAGAGGAAAACAAGAGGAAGCGAGGGAGAAATAAAAACAAAAGTAGAATTCAGCTGAGGCACTTGGAGCTCTGGACTGTCACGTCCCCTGGATTACGAAAAGGTGCTAACAGAAGCATGAAATTCTCCAAGGGGGGAGGTAGGGGGCGGGG